CCGAGAGCTGGCTCGGACGGGACCGAGGCTTCCTCTCCACTGTGCGCCCGCAGACTGACTTGGCGTTTGACCCCCTTCCGTTGCCTGGTCTGTCGTGTGGCCTGTCTCGTGTTCTGCTCCGGGTGCCGTGGAAGAAGCCAAGTTAATCACGTGGCGAAGTGTCCCTGCGTTTGGAACCCAGAACCTGCTCTATGATGGCGTCAGCCCTGTTGGGTGACTAAATAAAGCCGTCATTGTGGAAAGACACAACCCGTGTGTGCGCCTTCACAGCGTGCTCATGACAGGGCTCTCAGGGAGAGTGGGGACACATCAATGTTACCACTGCCGCCAAAATCCACCCAGCCAAATGCGCCCTTGTATTTGGTGTGCTATAGGCTGAAGTTCCCAAACACACACAGTGGAGACAGGCTGTTGGAAGAGACCAAGGACTCCAATCCCTAGAACACAGATCCCATTGTAGAGCCTAGAGGCACAGCGGCCCTCTTCCTAGGTGCCTGGCAGGGAGAGCAAAGTCCAGGCACACCCCGAGCAGGTGAGGAATGAGGCCATGACCGACCAGCGGAGCCAGGGGAGGAGGCTCCAGCCAACAGGGAGGAAATCCAGCCCCTGCACAGGAAGGGAAGGGAGGAAGCACTTTCTAAAGCTCCCCCATCCCAGCTCTGAGCAAGAGCTTGGGGAGCAGAGAAAGGAGGACACAGCCTCACAATGAGGAGCCCAGAGGTAGCCTTTGTGCAAGCTCCTTCAGGCAGCCACCAGCCCCTTCCGTAACTTGGCCCGAGAGCTCCAGGCAGGGGCTCCCCTCGGTGCCCCTGAAGCGCACTAGGCAGCACAGCCAGGAGCACACAAGCCTCTTCAGCATTTCTGGGATTCAGGGAAACACACCAATCCTGCCCAGGGAGGACACCCACGAGGGCTCACTGCTCGGCCAAGACAGGGACTGACAAGGGCAGCACGGTGCTCCCACAGCCACCTCCCCCCTCAAGTTAAAGCTCCAGGAAAAGTAAGGCCGGAGCTTTGAGGAGGGCCAGCCCTTCTCAGGCTTCCCTGAGCCTGGCATGGCTCCATGCACGCCTCCCCTCTCTGCACCCATGGAAATTAATCCCACGGTTGCCTCAGCCTCTGCTCCAGGACCCAGAGGAGCCCAAACCAGTCACGGATACTCCGCCACGGGCCTGGAGCACACGGCCCGGCACTCTCCGCACGGCAGAGCTTCTCACTCTGACCCCAGTCTGTGAGGAGGAGCCCAGGATCCCCACGAGTGAGGTCACCCGAAGCTCTGAGAGGCTCCAGTTTCTCCTCTGGCCGAACTCCAAAGCCCACACAAAGCCCGGGCGTGTCACTCCCGCCGGCCTTCATTTCCTGGCTGCAAATGGAGATAAGTCTGGCGCTGCCCACCTGGCCAACAGGTTGCAAAAATGAAAACAACTCCACAGACAAAACGTGAAAAGCCCTACCGGCGGCCTTCACAGGCGGCCACTTCCAGAAGCCGGTCCTGACCCCTTGGCGCCCTCGGCACCCGACTGGAGCCTGGACAGACTTGTGCCCTGGGCCTGGCCTCTCCGTGTGCCGGCCAGACACGGCGCCCTGCCTTCGGTTACCTCTCACCTTGCTCTACCGCGCTCGTCTCCCCTCTGCCCGCTCAGCTCTGCCCCCCTCCCCCCGCCCCTCTCTCCCCCGGGCCGGGTCCCCTCTACCGCCGCAGGCCCCGGAAGTGCGCGCCTCACCTTCCGCCTCGCGCAGCCCGCCGCAGCGTAGACGACCAGATCCCGGCGATCGGTCAGTCGGCCCCGCGTTCCTCTGGGCGCCGCGGGGGCGGGCCCCGCGCCCGGCTCTCGCCATGGCAACGCTACACTTCCGGGCCGCACCGCCCAGAGCCGGAAGCCGCGGCGCCCCCTGGGAGCCAGGGGGCATGGCCGAGCTGCCAGGGGGCGGGGATTGTCCTTGGAGGTTGGCGGTCCGCGGTGTTGTGTGAACCTCTAGCAGGGGCATCCTCGGCGCGGATAGGGTGGAAAGGGCAAGCAGTCAAAAGGCTCTCGGGAGGCGGTCATCTATTTATGCTGAGCTTTTAAGGAAAAGTCGGGGTTCACCCGACAAAGCAGAGTCATCACGAACAGAGGGGGAAGCATGCCTATAGGTGGAAGGACCCGGTGCATTGGAGCAACGGGAAGGTGGTGGTTTGGGAGAGCGGAGGAGAATGGTCAGATATGAGTAGTCCGGACACAAGGAGCCTTGAACGTCAAACCAAGCAAAGGAGGACCCGTAAGGGAGGGAGGGGTGACTTAAGACTTGTAGGAGAGAAAGACGTCTTTGCTGATGGAGTGAGGCTAGGAGGCCATAGATAGCAACAGCATGGTTAGACACAAGGACCCCCTCAACTAGAGCTCTGGGAACTTAAAAGAGGTGACATCGGAGTTCAAGGGAATCCATGTGACATCTGAAGGGAGAGTCTGAGAATGAGGGGAGTGTGTGGAACTTCACATTACATCATCCTTTTCAGCCCCAAACTTCCTCCTCCAGTGCACCTCTACCACTCATGCCTTCCCTCAGCACCTTCCATCAGTTGGGTACCTACTGCAGATTTTCAACCATTTAAGAGTATAATGTGGGCGGGGGGGGGGGGGGGGGAGGGACTGCCCAAGAAAAGCTGAATTCTTGAAGTAGTGATATACTTCATATCATAGTGATAACAGCATCAGCCACCACTGCTAGTGTCCTGGGCCTGATACCCCCTTGGCCAAACTTGCTGGTAAGGAGCAGGGCTGGGCCTTGGGGCATGGTACAGAGCATAGGTCTTGACGGACTCAAAGGCCTTAACAGATCAGATAGCCAGAGAGAAGGTGAAGGGACAGAATAGGGTGTGGGAGGGGCACCTGTCTGGCTCAGTCAGTAGAGCGTGTGACTCTTGATCTCAGGGTCATGAGTTCAAGCCCCATGTTGGGCGTGGAGCCAACTTGAAGAGTAAGAAGAGAAGAATAGGGTCTGGGGGTTCAGAGGACCAGTCAGTATCAGGACACCTGCCAGAGGCATTTTTCTGGAACCGCACTTCTAGGGAAGGTCCTGTGCCAGCTAAAACCCTCAGAGGCTCTAGCCAGGCCCAAGCAGCGAGTGCTGACCCCTCAGACCTCCCCAGCCTGAGCCTCCACTCTCCTACCTAGAGTGCCCCATCTCCACTCAGGCCAGCCTCCACCTGCCTGGGGAACATCTTCTATCTAGACTAAGCTTCATGGCCCTGTGGCTGTCTGAGAATCCCTTCCTGTGTACTCATGCAATGCACCTGCACTCACTCCTGTCCAGAGTGAAGCCAGATGGTCCTTGCACACTCCCCTGGGCAGGAACTATGACCCATGAAGCTCTATCCTCAAGGTCTGGCACCAAGAGGTGTCCAGTAAACCCCTAAACCCCTCCAGCTAGACTTCTCCGCCCCGCCCCCCGCCCCCCCCAACGCGCGCACACACTGCCCAAGTGCCCCCAGAAGAAGGAGAGGCATCGTCCTGGTAGCAACCTTAAGAGGATTGGACCCAGAGGACCAAAAGAGGAGGAGAGAGGCAAGCCTGCCTCCAAGAAGTCCTCTGGAGCCAGACAGGTCCAGCTCACCCAGGGCCAGAGGGGTGAACAGTTAATAATGAGAGCTGTTCAGCTCCCACTGTTAACAGGCACCATGGAGGTGAGGAAAGCCCTCCAAGGGAACCTTGGGGAATCTGCTGGGGCCCTGCAGCAACCCCTGGGAAAATTTCTTGAATCCACTACCTCCCTATTTTGTTCTGAGTTTCCTCCAGGAAGCCCTCCCAGACCACCATCTAGGCCCTGGAAGCTGCTCAGCCTTGTAACTCCCGAGCAGGCCCCACCTATTCTTGGCAGGTCAGTTTTGAGTAAATCCAACTCCATCTATCGTACAATAGCACTGAGGGCCAACCCAGATGACAGGATAAAAGTAACTTGGGTCACTGGCCCCTTCAAGAGCTTTCCTCCCAGCTTGTGGGGGTGCTTAAGCAGCACATGTGAGGGTGAGAATGAGGCCCTGGGTGGCTGCCTGCAGCCCCCACTGGAATCTTCCCTGCCCCTCCCTTCCAGATTAACTGAAACCTGCTAATTGTGGCAGCCTTCTCATGCTCCCTCCCCCACCACATCTCGTCCCTCCTTGCCTCCCCTCCCCCTTCCATCCGAGATGATAAAGGGTCTGGCCCGCCAGACCCGCGGGCCTCAGGCCCTCAGCCCTGCCTCCGCCACATAGCCCCAGCTGCCTTGTGCCGTCCCACAGGAGGCCGGCCTGCCCCTTGGTTGCCTCCCTGCAGCCTGGGGCCTGCAGCAACCCACCTGGGCGACTTCCTGGGTCGGAGTCGTCATCGCAGCCCCCCAAGAGGAGGAAGAAGAGATACCTGCGTCATGACAAGCCCCCCTACACCTACTTGGCCATGATTGCCTTGGTGATCCAGGCAGCACCCTCCCGCAGGCTGAAGCTGGCCCAGGTGAGAGGGACCCCCATTCTCCCTCACACTCGGTGATTGGACGCTTTCTCCAGACCCGTCCCCCACCTATTCCTAAGCTCAGGCTCCGGCCTCCGACCCCACCTTACCCTACCCAGCTAAGTCAGTGGGACCAGTCCCGGCCTGGGCACCAGGGGGGAAGGAGTTGAGGTGCTCGGGCAGGACCCTTCCCGATCTCATTTCTCCCTCCCGCGCAGAGGTGTTCTGACCAATGGGGGGGGGGGGGGGGAGAGCGGCGCGACGCTCCTAAGTCAGGCTGTGGGGGAGGGGCGGTGCTGCTCCACTTTGCGTCCCGGTTCAGGGCGCCGGCCCAGGCACCCACCCCCGGTCCGTGTTTCAGATCATCCGTCAGGTCCAGGCTGCATTCCCCTTCTTCAGGGACGACTACGAGGGCTGGAAGGATTCCATCCGCCACAACCTCTCCTCCAACCGATGCTTCCGCAAGGTGGGGTAGGGCGAGGGTCGGAGCCCGGGCGGAAATCCTGAGTATCTGGGGTCGGACGGCCCCACCCAAGCCTCCCCACCCCCTCCAGGTGCCTAAAGATCCTGCGAAACCCCAGGCCAAGGGCAACTTCTGGGCGGTCGACGTGAGCCTGATCCCGGCCGAGGCGCTGCGGCTGCAGAACACGGCCCTGTGCCGTCGCTGGCAGAGCAGGGGCGTGCGGGGAGCCTTCGCCAAGGACCTGGGCCCCTACGTGCTGCACGGCTGGCCCTACCGGCCGCCCAGTCCTCAGGCGCAGCCCAGTCCTCAGCCACCACCCAGTCCTCAGCAGCCGCCCAGTGAGGGCTTCAGCATAAAGTCTCTGCTAAGGGACCCCAAGGAGGGGGTGCCACAGAGCAGCCCGGGTCACACAGGATCTGGGCACAGTGGGGAGAAGGTGGTGCCTGCTCCACCCCTGCGCTCTGAGAGGCCTCTGTGGCCCCTCTGCCCCCTTCCCGGGTCCAAAAAAACAGATAGGGAGACTAATTCGCAGGGGGAAACCAGCAGGCCTTCACCCCTCTCCCCTGAGCACAGAGCCTGGCCCCTCCACTTACTGCAGGGTTCCCCAGATGCTGGGGGACTGTCTGGTGGGAGTCACAGGGCCTCACTTTGGGGGCAGCTGCCCACCTCCTACTTGCCCATCTACACTCCCAATGTGGTAATGCCCTTGGCTCCGCTACCACCCACATCTTGTCCCCAGTGCCCACCTTCTACTAGCCCAGCCTTCTGGGGGGTGGCCCCTGAAACCCATGCCCCCCCAGGGCTGCTCTGGGATCTAGATGCCCTCTTCCAGGGGGTGCCACCCAACAAGAGCATCTACGATGTGTGGGTTAGCCACTCCCAGGATCCAGCTGCTTCCAGCCCAGGCTGGCTACTCTCCTGGTACAGCCTGTGAGGGCCCCCCCCCCCCGGGGCAGGGGCTGCTTCCCTCTCCTACCCCTTCCTGCCACCACTGGCTTGTTGGGGAACCAAGGCCAAGAGGACCCAGAGGTGTTCTGTGGCCACAGCAGCTTTGAAACACCAGGCACCAGCGATGCTGAGAATCCACGATATTTATTGGACTACCCCACAAAGGTGGTGGTCTGGCTAGGCACCACCCTGGCCCCCAGGGTCCGTCATGCCTCTCCTACCCCCAGAGGCAAGGCTGGAAAGAGTGGGGACTTTGCTTGCAGTAGCCCCTTCCTGATCCCACTTTCTCTGACCCTCTCTGTCCGTCCATCCTTCCTTCCATCCATCCATCACCATGTGTCACTTCCTCTCCCTGGCTCCACGCTGGGGGAGGGAGAACCTAATGGTGGCTCCAGCCTGTCCTGTCCTCCCTCAACTGCCTGGGAATGAGGTAGCACCTTTTTGGGGAAAAGAAATCAAGACCCTACTCGTTTTGGGTGGTGGTAGTGGGGAAGATAACAGTAAAGGAGTAGACAACATTTTAATGCCAAGTCTGATTTTTGGTGATGGGGTGGTGATCTGGAGGGTAAGCACTTGGTCGTCGGGGGTCTACCTCCCAGGGCTCTCTCATCCCCTGCTGTGGGCCGAGATAACAGCAAATGGTGATAAGGAGGAAACTGAGGGCCTGGGGGAGGGAGGGCCAATCACGCCCCTAGGCTTGATACTCCTCGCGGGGGCAGGGGAGCCAACTCTGGGGGGGGGGGGGGGGGGGCAGCGGGCCCCCCCAGAGATCGAGGAGGTTGTGAGGGCGTAAGAGATTTGCTGCCTCTGCCGGCAGAGGCAGACTCCAACTCCAGGGGCTAAACTACAAGGGCGCCTCCTTTTGGGTCCCGAGGCCCGAGCTGGAGCCGCTGCCCGGGCCAGGTCCCGGAGGGCTGCCGGGGGACGGCGTAGGAGTGCAGGGGGTCCCGGTAAGTGGCGTGTCGGTGCTGAGCGAAGAGGGCGTCCCGGAGCGCGGGGCCCTGCAGCGCCGGGCTGGCCCCAGCTCCACTCGGCCCACTCGCTCGGCGAACTTGAGCGAGCACACGGTCTCGCCGAGATCCTCGGGCCGCGTGGAAATCTGCGGGGAAGCGGCGCTGGTGGGCGGGCCCGGGGCGGGCGGCGCCGGGCTTGCACACCACCCTCCCACGCCTGCGGCCGCCCACCTGCAACAACAGCACCGCGGTGGCGCCAGGCCCGAGCGCCGGCTGCAGCAGGCGCGTGAGCTGCGAATCGCGGAAGGGCACGTGGGGCCGGCGGGCGCGCAGCGCGGCCATCACGCCTCCCAGGGCCAGCAGCGAGCGGTTGATAGTCCGGGCCTCCCGCAGACGCTGGGCGCCGTCTCGGTCTCCGCGCGACGGGCCGGCCGCCCCTGCCTTCCAGGCACGCTCCGATCCGGCCAGGTCCACCAGGTGCAGTGTGCCTGCAGGGGCGAGCGAGCCCGTCGTGGAGGGAGCCCAGGTTTCGGGTGCTGCGAGGCCCCCCGCAGGGCTCAGGCGCGCGCTGCGGTACCTGCGGTGCCTGGACCGCGCGGTGGGGACGCCGTACGCAGTGTCAGTGTGACCAGGGCATGCGACCGTGAGCTGTGCGGGTTCTTGGTGGTGGCGGCGGTGGCCCGGTTGCTCCTCCCCAGGCTCAGCATCTGGAGGGCGGAGCGATAGGGCCTGCCTGCTGCCGGGTCTGCGTCCCCAGGTGGGAGCACAGGCGGGGCCCTGAAGGCCTGCGGGGAGGCGGTGGGTGGGGGTGGGGTGAGTGCAATGCCACCCGGGCAGCCTTACCTGGTGAAGCATCTCCAGGTCGGGCACGTCCCAGTAGGTGAGGCCAGCCACCTGAATGCCCCCCCGGCCTGCTGGGCCCTGCCTCACGGCCAGGCGCTCAGGAGGCCCTGGGGCTAGCAGGTCCCTGCAGAGAAAGAGAAGGGCTTGGTTTCTGAGGGTCCTAGGGTCACTGACAGGGCACAGGGTGCGGAGGAGGCGCTGCAGGCCCTGACCTGACAGCCTCATTGTAGATCTCCACCATGCTGAGAGTCACACGGTGCTGCCCTTCAGTCCCCATCTCCTGGAACAGTGACTGCAGTGCCCTAGGAGCTATGCCAGGGTCCTCTGGCGGGCCCTGGGCACAGGGTGGGGTGCCACATCAGGCTCCCATCCGAGCCCCTGGCCCCAGGAGCCACCCAGGGTCCCCCCCCTTCCCACCTCCATACTGTAGGTCTTCCCTGTCCCTGTCTGACCGTAGGTGAAAATGCAGACACTGTAGCCTTGGAGGCAGGACAGCACGGCTGGCTCCAGCTCCCTGAAGACCTAGGGGTAGGAGGGGTGGGAGGAGTCCTAAGCCCCAGGACCTGAGACACAGTTGGAAGGAAGCTTGATTCCCCTGGGAGGTTGGCCCTAGGGGAGCATGGTGGAAGTGTGGATCTCCCGACAGGTAGAAGACGCTCCCCGGAGAAGGTGGCATTTAACAAGAATTTGCCAGGCAAAGAAGGGAAGGGATGTGACAAAAGAAGAAACAGGAGACGCAGGGCACTGGAATTCTGAGGTCCACTAGGGAGGCCCAGGGAGCAGCAGCCAAGAGCCCAAATGGTGGGCTTGGCTGCCAGGTTCAAACCCCAGGTGTGATTGGAAGCAAAGCACATATCGTCCTTTCAGGCCAAGATTTTCCCTCTGTAAGGTGATGACTATAGTGGCACCTGCTGTAGGGAGTAAAGGGGAGCATGTACCAAGAGGCCTAGCAGCATTTGGCTTACAAATGATCAGCCCAGAAAGGCTCCACAGGTGTACAGGTTGGTGGCCAGCCAAGATCACTGGAACCCTGGCCTTGCAAGGGTGCAGAGAGGCGGCTGAGGGGGAGGCGGGGCTGGGACTTGTATCCTGTTGGCAACCGGACCCCAACAGCAGCCTTTTGAGCAGCAACATGGCCAGCTTTTGTGGCCCGGGGGGCTGGCAACTGAATAGCCTGTGAGTTCTGCCTCATGCGTTGGCTGCCAACAATGAGGGCAGAATCCAGAATTGCCAGTGAGGTCACCAAGATTCCATGAACGGAAGGAAGCACTGGGGGTAACCGTGATGGAGGGACTGTGGTGCCCTTGCAGAGATGGGAAACACAGGTGAGGGGGCTCAGTGAAAGATGCCTTTGTTTCCTTTATTCAGACCCATTGAACTGGAGAGCCCTGTCCAGAGGGCTGCCCAGAAAGCAGCGGACAAGGGGGGCCTGCACAGGGCTGCTAAAGCTTGGGATGCAGGCTGAGGCCAGGGGAAGTGTGTGAAATAGAGAAATAGGTGAAAAACAGCTGTGGTGCTCCAGGAAGTGGGGGAGGGAGCCCTGACCACCTGCCAAATACTCATCACACAGTGTCCCTGTGAGGCCAGGTTGGAATCTGTTAGCGCTGCCCCTTCCCTAATCCCCTCCCAGCTCTGAGCCTCCATTTCCCGAGCTTTGGAAGTTCTGATGGGGAAGCATGTAGACAGAGACAGGGAGTGTGCGAAGGCCAGGTGGCTGGTGGGCCTGGCAGGAAAGGGGAGGAGGGAAGGAAGCAGGGTCTGCACCAGGCACTGGGAGAGCACTGGGGCTGGACACCACCTGCTCACCCTTACGCCCTCACTGCCTTCTTGGCCACAGGGCAAGGAGGTGAGCCTACCCTCAAAGCTGGCCCACTCCCCCAGGGCTGGAAGAGGGGGAAGGAGGTCACAGCAGTGTCCCCACCACAGCAACACCCTAGCTGTGCTCTGCAGCCAGCTCTGCATGAGCAGTAACCATATCTCAGAGAAGTTCATCTTCCTTAGTTTCTTGGTAAAAAAGTTACTTTTTAAAATGTTGACCTTCCTGTTAAATCAGAAAAGGCTTGTTTCCACTGGAACTGCAGAGCTTGGTGGGGGGATGCAGATGGAAATTTCTGGAAGGAAAGGAGGTACCCAGCTAGGCTGTCATTCCTGCCTCCCAGATCTTCCTGCTCCCTTCCCTTCGCTGAAGTCCAGCCACTGGGGAAGCCAGATGAAAGGGGAAACCCGAAGCCTCTTCGGACTCTGGGGCAGTATGAGGGAAGGTCAGCACAGGGCAAGGGCGGAGCATCACCTCCTCCTGGCTGGCCTCTGGAGAGAAGACCCAGTCCAGGCGGAAGCGACGCTGGCGCCCTCGATAGCAGGTGGTGACAGTGCCGCTGGGGCCAGGCTCCAAGCTCACCAGGCTGGAGGGTGTCCCTGGCCTCAGTCGACACAGCACACGGATATTTCCTGGGATGGAGATCAGATCAGTAGGCTGCCTCCCACGCCCCGAAGCGTGCAGAGGCTCCACTTCCTCCAGCTTGCCGCCCCACTCCTCCACTTCCCAAGCCTGCCATACCCTTGAGCTCCAGCAGCCGCCCCGGGCATCCAGTTGGGGGCCCCTGCTGCTCTTCAGGGAGCTGAGTCCCAGCCCCTCCAGCTGACAGAGCCCCCAGGGCCCAGGATACCTGGTGGAATAGGGATGCAAGGAAGTGGGGGCAGCAAAGGAACTGGGGGTGGGGCGGGTGCTGAGGGCAATATGGTACCACCAGCTGTGGTGACCTACAACTTTCAGTGGCTTTGAGCCCCTAGGGGCATCATACAGTGGGCCCAGGATGGAGACTCAGAATCTCAGGAGGATCATGGGAAGACCTTTGTCTCCTCTGGGGTTGGCCATCTTATGAGGGGTTTACAGTCTCCCCAGTTTGCACAGACAGAAATGAGATCACACCCAGGGTGTGTGAGATCACAAGCTGTTCTGGTTCCAGAGCCTACAACCTCCATTAGAGCAGGCAGCTCCCGGGGGCTGGGAAGGAAGAAAGAACAAGGGCTCCCCATGGAAGAACGATGACTGGGCTGCCCAGAGAGCATGTTCTGGAGAGAGGGCAGATGGTCCTGACCTGGCCCCGGGCCTCACTGAGCGAACACTGACAGCTCTGGGTAAATGTGCTGACCAGTCCTCGGAGGTCCCCACAGCCCTGTCGCAGACTGGCCATACGTGCCCGAAGTCCTGTCAGGGAGAGTTTGTTGTGAGGGAAAGCCCAGACCACATGGCCTTCCCATGAGCCCTCTGGACCCCGCCCTTACCTGCCAGCTGCCCAAGCATCTGCTGCAGCTCCCGTCTGCAGTTCTGCTCAGTCTCCTGCTGGAGCTGCCGAAGGGCCCCCCGAAGGCCCTGCAGCTGCACCTCCTGCACCCCCAGCTGTCCCACCCAATTCCACCCCTGTCACTGAGGAAATAGGCACTTACCAGGCCCTGCCTCAGATACCCCCCTCCCAGTGCACCAAGACTTCCCGGCCCCTGGGCTCAGCGCCCACCTGGACCTGAAGTGCTTCTGTGGTGTCCTGGGCTTCCTGAAGCCGACTCTGGAGCTCCACCAATGCCTCTGCCTCCTCCTGTGGGAAGGATGGGAGCTGTGTCATCTATGGAGCCAGGAGGGAACTCAGGGAGGGGCACTCCAGCAGCCCCATTTCATGGATGGGGAAGTCAAACAGACAGGCAGAGCTGCTCATGAATTCATGTCTCCCAACCCCAGACAGGACTCCTTTTCCCAAGTCCCTCTGCTCTTCTGGGGTCCATCACTTGGAAAGCCATGGGACAGGGTCGAGGTATTCTCCCACGGGCATTGGTCCCTTGTTGGGGCAACTTTGCACAGACCGTCCCAGGGCCTGTCCACAATCCTAGTCTCTGACCCTTAAAGGTCAAAGATGTCCCCCTGCCTCCCTTCCAGCAGCGTTAGATCCTGAGGAAGCGTGGGCAGTGTTGCAGGAAGCCAAGTGTTCAGGAGCCCCAGACTGCAAAAATGGTAGCAGCTAAGGAGGATACCTGGGGGGCCCTGGTGGAGGGGCCAGGGCCCCAGTGCAGCAGAAGGTCCCGAGTGAGGCTCAGGCTCTGTTTCAGAGCCTCATTCTCCAGGGTTAGATGCTGAACCCTTTTCTCTGAGTCTGTCGCCCCCTGGCGGAGAAAGAGGCCCTCTAACTCACCTGAAAGCTGGGGCCCCCTCTCGTGTCCCCCTCCTGGAGCCCCACCCCCAGCAGCCTTACCACACCCAGGCGCAAGCGGCCCAGCTCCTCTTCCTGCAGTTCGAGTTGCTGCTTCAGCTCCTCTAGCTGGGAAGGAGGGAGGGGCACAGGGTGGATGGAGCATGTCCTTCCACTCCCTCCCACCCCAGTCCCGGGCCCTTCCGGGCCCCTCACCTGTCCAAGGATGAGCTGCTCCAGCCGCTGCCAAGCTCTCTGGTCCTCCTCCAACTGGGGAGGGTTCTGCCCTTGGGCCTCACCCCTTGGTGAAAGGGAAGGGCTTTCTTCTTGAGGTGGGGATCCTGGGGTGGGGTGGACCCAGTTAGGACTGATCAGGTCTCTAACCTGAAGGAGGGGACACCTCGGGAGCAAGGCTGGGCATGGGCCCCGAACAACGAGCCACTCAGTCTCTGCTGGACTTCACTCCCTCCACTCCCTTTTCAACTCACTACTCCTTACGCACCAGCAGGTGTGGGAGGCTGCACCTCCGAGGCTGGATGAATACCCTGGGGCAGGGCCTGCCTCCCCCTGGGGCTCCGAATCCATGCCAGGAGGGCCAAGAGCTGACCGGTCACCGTCAACAGTGGGGGGACATCGCTCGGCTGTAAAGGAGATAAGAATCGGAGCGAAGGAGACTGAGGTGATGACAGCCATGGGAAGACCCAGGACTATGGATAGAGTATGAGTTTCCCGAGGCAGGACCCTCGGCAAACCGCTCACCTTGCTCAGGTCAGGGTTCCGGCAGCTCTCTTCCGCCCCCAGCTGGACGGAGAGGAACTCAGCAAGACGCACGAGAGCCTCTTCCAGGGAGACCTCGGTAGAGCGGCCCTCGGCTCCCTCTTCCGGCCCATCCTCAGACTCAGAGCAGCCTGTGAGGCCTGATAGCGGGAAAGGGAGGCTTGCGGTTCACGTGTTGGAGGGTAGGCCACCAGAAGGCACCAGCTGTGTTCCTCCCTCCCAAAGAGGTCACGGGCACCCCTCCCTCTCTCCGACGGCAGGGTTCTCTCACGGTCCCGGGGACGCAGCTCTCCCGATGCACCGACAGCACCTACCGACCAGGCCTGTCAGCTCGGTCCACAGTTCTGCCGTGGGCTGGTCGGGGCGGCGGCGACCCCCGGGCTTGCCACCGGCACTCTAGGGAGGGAGCAGCGAGACCCCGAAGGAGTGGGTAG